GTCTTACCCTGCCCTGTAACAATTTCACATAATCATTGCTACAATTTTGTAGTATAATATAATTATCATTCTCATGCCATGAATGAGGACACTGAGGCACAGAGATTAAGTAACTTTCCTATTACTACACATTGACATTCATATGGGGAGCAAACACAGAAATGGCCCATGCTTTACAGTGGCCTGAAACAGGACACAAAAATAGACAACTATTGTGTGATAGTGTTGTTCATATCCAAAGAGTATGCACTTTCTGAATCATGAAGGCATATATATTTTTAACTGAAAAGATCAAAATACTGCATATTCAAATTCTTTTCCAACTGTTTTTCTTCCCCTGCTAGAAAGCAAATCTACAAATAACACAACCTATGCTGAACACATGCCTCAGTCATCCCCCAGTGTTTCCTGACATGTATTTTTGCTTCCAGTTCATCACAACTAAAGAATGGGGCTCAACCTGACACTTGCAAAATTACCAGGTAAGCCATTGGAAAAAAAATACAAAGAACTTACTTGATCAATAGCTATTATTTATACTATGTAGCAAATTTGGGATTTTATCAGTCACTGAACGAACAAACAAAATAAACCAGCATTTAGCCTGGCCTTTCATTAAGTATAAAACACTAAATATGGAGGATGGGGTTGCTGAGACAAAGTTTACTTGCTTTCACTTTTGCTTTAAACTTTGTCTCATCTAGAGACTATCTATAAAAACAAATGAGATTAAATAACATGTCAAAATTTTTCTATGCCCAAACTAAAGTGCACATTACTTTCCAGGTGTAACAGTCTAAACCAAGTTCACTGATGTTTCCAAAAAGGTCAAAGGCAGTAGCTACTATTGTTATGACTATTTAGAAAAGTGATTGAATAAAGGCAGCAAGGACAAAGAAGTGGTTCCTGGTCATTTGCATTACTTTAGTATTTCACTCTTACCTGGCAGGTAAAGCAATGAGAACTTCATATTGGTGAGAACTTCATATTTTGTGATAGAGGGTGGCATACCCCAGCAAGCTAATGTAGCTTCCCCAAGAGAAAAAGAGCCAAGACTCTTCACCACTCCATCATTCATAACAGGACTGTTCTTACTGAGACAAATTGTAATCAGTACCCCTAAGAAAGGGAGTGAACCCCTAAGTACTTGATACTGTGCTGGAAATAATGCTAGCAGAGCATTTAATTGTGGGGAGATCCAGCAAAGAGGCAACTATTTATTCCATTTTACAAAGTCACAAAGTGACTAATTCAGCAATGTCAAATAAGACTTTCTATAATGATGAAAATGCACTTTGTCTACATTGTCCAAAAATAATTGTCACATGTGGTTACAGCTATATCTAGCCACAAACCCCATGCATGTCTCCAGCGCACGCACACACACAAACACACACACAGACCCCACCCTCATCCTTATTTCCAAATACATACCACAATACCATTCTCACATAAACTGGTAGAAAATGATCATTTACAATGGGACTAAGTCATTGCCTTTATTAATAATTTCAATTTAAAAGGATTTGGGAAGGGGGGAGAATAGCCAAGGAATTTCTGTCTTGAATTATATCTCTGTGTCATGTTCTGCATTAAATAATACAGGAAATGGCACTGTAATAAAAAGTATGTGAGAAAATAGCCTTTGCACTGTAAAAAAATAGCTTATACTTTTACATATTTGAATCACTAAGCTACCTATCATTAAAAATTTCCTTAACTTTGCCAAGTTCTTTACTGACAGTGAAAAACATGGTAAAACTGCCTGGTGAGGAAAACCACTCACATTTAATGGTAATTGCTCCTGAGCAGGAACACTGTGCAGAGAAATATTTTGCGGGGCCTCCCCGGTGGCGCAGCGGTAGAGCGCTGGGTTGCGAAGCTGCCCGCAGCCTCTGCGGCGCCGGTTCGATTCCCGGCTGCTCCCCGGCCACCGGAGGAGGGTCCCACATGGTGCGCAGACCTCTCCTGCCACCCGCTGCTCCCCTCAGCAGTGTACTTCGGTCCTTCTGCCTGTTCTGCTCCCCGCTCTGGCTCTGGTGAATTCTCTCACCCTCCCGCGCTTCTGACTGTACCCAGTGCATGTATAAACAAAACAAATGAACAAACAAATAAATAAATAAATAAAAAAAAAACATGCCTCTATAAAAAAAAAAAAAAAAAAAATTAAAAAAAAAAAAAAAAAAAAAAAAGAAATATTTTGCGAATGCTTTGCGCAGTGACACAGGAGAGGAGAAATGATGGCATTAACTGGCAGAAAAGAATAGGGCATAGATATAATTTAAAACAAATTAGTCAGATGAAACTCTTTATATGAAGTTTTGAGTCTTCCACAGCAACACACAGATATCTCCCAATGACCTTCTTTTCCTCTGTGCTACCATATTATTTCATAAAATAACCCCAACAGACTTTAACCACTAATTTGTGTGAGTTGCTTTGTAAATGTGGAATTTGTAAATGAAATAATAACCAAGCCCAGACTTATCCCACAGAATTAAGAAGTCTTATGTTCCAAAATGCTAATCCCACATATAAACTAAGAAAGCAAGTAGTACGAATGACATAATCAATAAGCCAAATGCCAGACTTTCTCAAAGCCACAAGACAGTTCAGTAACCACTGTGAAATGAGGCCACTCACTCTTGCTATTTATTTATGAGACTGTATCTAACATTCTGATTTAAGACTCCATCTGTAATAACCATCACTAATCAGTAATCATTTAATGAGAGTATTCGTTCTTACACTTAAAACTTTAAAATATTATTATTTACTGAATGGACGCATAATCCCTAACCAATCTTGAGAAGCATTGGTCTCTTCTATTCCACCACTGTGGAGTGGAATTCATGGCAAATGCAGTGAGCCAATGCTGAGAGCTGAAATACTCCATGACTAGTATATTGCAGTTGTGAACCATTCTATTTACATGTAGAATGGCTCTGAAGATCATTCATAAGAAAGTGACAAAGCACAGCTCTGGTTCCAGGAGATGATGTAACTGGTTCCTTCTCATGCCACGTCCCTTCAATGGAATACTTATCCTTGACCTCTCTCTGCTTTCCCTAGGGCTCTAAATAGGTTAAATGACTACTAATAGTTTAAAATTATTAGTAAATAGGCAAAACTGCACATGTTATGAAGCTCTTAATGGTACAGACACTGATGTGAATCATGTGGTACAGAAGCTGCCAAGAGAGCAAACTTCAGTAAATCAAAATAAGCTTGAATGATACTGATACTGTTCAGGACAATATTTCAAATTAGCAGCAGTCACAGAGATGGCACCTCATTCAAGCATTTGAAACTTGTAAAGCTTAATGATACTGTGGGGCTCTCGTAACAGGCTAGTCCAGGTATAAATTACTAGCCTGTGTAAGGATATTTAAGCCAGGAAAACCAGTTTTTAAAAACACTTGTACCAGTGAATAAAAGGGAAAGAATTAGAGGCAAGGTTACTCAAGAAAAGCCTATACTTAAATTTCAGGCAGCAATTTAAGAACCTGTTTCTGGATTATAATCATCAAAACTATCTTCCCTGTTTTACTTTTTTTTCTTTTTTTGGTGGGACCCTCGCTGGTGGCCGGGGAACGAACCAGCGCTGCAGAGGCTGCGGGCAGCCTCACAGCCCAGCGCTCAACCGCTGCGCCACCAGGGGAGGCCCCTTGTTTTACTTCTTAAAAGAAGGGAACCAAAATATATACTATACTGCCTGTCATGGAGGGAAATGAGGGCTAAGTTCATGCTGTTACCTTGGGGGGAAAAAAATCATTCCAAAACATAGCAGCAATTACAAATATTAGGGAGGAGTGAAAATTCAGAAATGACCTTCCATAGAACTCTACATCCAAAAAGGTCATTTTCAAATTGCGTTAACAGTTCAGATTTTCTAGAAAATCAGACCATAGAACATGACTGGACGGCATGCCAACAAGGAATTGCAGATGCCAATGACGTCTGGTCCCTGTGGGACCAGTGGGGTCCAAGCAGGAAGACTTGGCAGGAAGTAGGGTCTTGGCAGGAAGATTCAAACTGAATTGCAGTCTGAACAAGATTTTGCCTAGAAATATTGAGTCCTCCTGCCAAAGTTGTTCAGCAGAGGAACCTCTCCTGCCTCAGGAACAGGATAATTTTAGGGCCCTTATTGGGGCTGGTTACTGTATGGGAGGAGTGAATGGGGAGCATGACATCAGCAAGAATGCAGAGCCATGACCTGGAACTGCCCTTGCATGTATCTCCCTACAGAGCACACCCAGGGGGCTGTTTTTTATGGCTGCCATGTACATCTAATAGTCAAAATCTATTTCACAGATTATATGAATTGTGGTATAAGTTTTTAACAACATTCCAAAAACACAAGATGTGTCAAAATTTTATATAATAAATACGATAGGTAATCTAGCCTTGTAAATAAAAATATATAACAGTTCACAATTACTTTTAATAAGTTGTCCTCCTTGATAATAAACTTAAATATTAAGAATAATTGCTTCTTTTTTGTTTCTATTCCTAACAAAGGTTCCAAAGTGCTCAAAAGTCAGTCATCAGTTTTCAAAAAAATTGAAACGTCCATGATTTTACTTTCCCTGTTTTTGGTGATTAAGCAGCTTAAAACTGAGAGGAGAAAAGATTATTTCAGACAGCATGCCAAACACTACCATGAAACAATAACCACGTCCTAGTCATTCTATTTTCTTTTTACAGGAAATTCCAATGTTCTGCCTCCGGATTTTGTTGATTCTATTTGTAATTATATCAAACGCCAAATTAAAAATTAGACCATTTCCATGGGTATATTCATTTTCATTTTCAAAAGGTTAATGTACAACCAGAAAAGTTACTCTTTACTCAGAGGTTTCCATTCAGCAGGGGCTCAGAGATGGGGTAGTGCCATCAGTATTTTGCGTTTAAAACATTAACAATGCTCTAACCTGGGTCTTCAATTGCTCAAGACATTTTTAAATTCATCCAAATTTGTAACAGTTCAGCCAGTATGCGAGCCTGGCAGTCTGTGGGGCATGAGCAGAAGCACCGGAGTGACGTCTCCCTGCTTCTCCCACAGATAACGAGCTACACGGCCATGGGAACCATGCTCCAAGCAACACAAGCGATGGATGGAGAAAAAACACCACCACCACCACCGAGTTTGACACAATTGTCTTGCCTGTACTTTATCTCATCATATTTGTGGCCAGCATCTTGCTGAATGGCCTGGCAGTGTGGATCTTCTTCCACATTAGGAATAAAACCAGCTTCATATTTTATCTCAAAAATATAGTAGTTGCTGACCTCATAATGACGTTGACATTTCCATTTCGAATAGTCCATGATGCAGGATTTGGACCTTGGTACTTCAAGTTTATCCTCTGCAGATACACTTCAGTTTTATTTTATGCAAACATGTATACTTCCATCGTGTTTCTTGGCCTAATAAGCATTGACCGCTATCTGAAGGTGGTAAAGCCATTTGGGGACTCTCGCATGTATAGTATAACCTTTACAAAGGTTTTATCCATTTGTGTTTGGGTAACCATGGCTGTTCTGTCCTTGCCAAACATCATTCTAACGAATGGTCAACCTACTACAGAAAATGTCCATGACTGCATGAAATTTAAAAGTCCCTTGGGAGTCAAATGGCATAAGGCAGTCATTTATGTCAACAGCTGCTTGTTTGTGGCTGTGCTGGTGATACTGATTGGCTGTTACATTGCCATATCAAGGTACATCCATAAATCTAGCAGGCAATTCATAAGCCAGTCAAGCCGAAAGCGAAAACATAACCAGAGTATCAGAGTGGTAGTGGCTGTGTTTTTTACCTGTTTTCTACCATACCACTTGTGCAGAATTCCTTTTACTTTTAGTCACTTAGACAAACTTCTGGATGAATCTGCACATAAAATCCTGTATTACTGCAAAGAAATGACACTTTTCCTGTCTGCATGCAATGTGTGCTTAGATCCAATAATTTACTTTTTCATGTGTAAGTCATTTTCAAGAAGGCTGTTCAAGAAATCAAACATCAGAACCAGGAGTGAAAGCATCAGATCCCTACAAAGTGTCAGAAGATCAGAAGTCCGCATATATTATGATTACACTGATGTGTAGCAACTAAAGATTACTAGGTATTCCCATTTGTTGAAAAAAAAAAAATCAATGTGTACAAAGTGTAAATAAATGTTTCTTTTGATTATCCTCGTTTAAATCCATCGAAATATGAGTAAAAAGAAAATAAAAATGGTACGAAATTTGGGGATAATTTGGAACTAAAAAAAAAAAAATCAGTAAACATTAAGGCATACTAAAAACTCAGATCAATGACAGGTAATGTGAGGCTGAGAAACAGGGCTCATGATTCAAAGCTGAAGGAGAAGATTGCAGAGACTGAAAAAGCCATGGTAAGGTTGGTATACTACCACTGTCTTCCAGGAAATGCTGTTGCTCTGAGGCTGCTTTTGTAGAAAACAGAAGGTATAGAAAACAGAATCCTATCTAGACCTAAGGTTTAAGATTTGGGAAGAAAACACAGCTCATTTACTGCAGACCCAACTAAGTAAATATTGATTGCTAGGCCTCTGTTATTCTATCTACAAACCATCTAGAACCTTCGCCGTATGTTTCCATGTCTGAGGAACATTAAAAAAACTTGCATATAGTGGAGGTAGGTGGGAAAATATTTAACTATATTTTTAATCAATATGTTTTTAAAGACCAAGGTCAATTAACTGATTTTAAACTTTAATTATTTCAGAGAGCATAATGTGGCTGAATATTAAAATAAGTAGATCTTGAATAATTTGTGTTTATGTTTGCCATTATTACACCCCTGTGCTGCCTGTAAAATTTCATGTGCGAAGAGTAGAAAAAAGAATGTGAGGGCTTGTTTAATAATCCAGTATATTGGCAGCATTTCTTTCACAAACTTTTTCCCTTTGCAAGGCAACAGCTGCAGCTCTTTCTGCCCGCTTGTGTCTGTGCAAGCGCCTTCTTTCCTTTTCCTACAAAACCTGTCCATTTCAAATTAAAATAATAATAATAATCCAGTATAGTTCAACAAGAAAACATTTAATAATCTTTATTTTAAAACATTAGTAAAATAATCTTCCCTTTAAACTACATCTCACCCTTATTAGAGATAACATTAGCTTAAAAAATATAGCCTTCAGATGAAGAACACATTTTGTATGTCAAGTCAAAAAAGAAGAGTAACCTTTTAAATCTTAAAAAATATTTTCTCCATCAATATAAACTCTTGTGTGTTCATTCTTTGTCAAAATATTCAGCAGCCTGAACACTGACTAAGCACCTGATTTATTCCTGTAAACACAGTAATAAGAGTTGGGTAAGCATTAAAAGAGGAAGAGCGAGGGTTGTTTGCAGATAAAAAAAGAAGATATGGTTAACAGAAACAGAGCACACACTCATATAAAACAGTATGATACTTTATTAAGACTCCCATAACTGTGTGCCAAATTTTGAAAAGTTAACATGAGAAAAAATGAAGGCACAAGAATAACTCAGCATAACAATAATTAACACTGTGAAGTATCTAGTAGGTGTCAACTTTGGCAATGGGGTTAAGTGGCAATGGAGTTAAAAGAATTATCTAAGTAATTCTATCAAAATATCAATCTCTCCATTAAGATTCCAATGCCATCAATCCTACAGACATACCAATTTATGGATTAATACATAACTCACTTAGTCATTTGCATAAGCAACTCCTCCCTCGATTGTGTGACACTAACTAGGTCAAGACAGCCATGTTTTCAAATAGCTAGTGTGAAAAGGCAGCTTGAAAAGCTAATACATTTCTCCACACTCTCCATAATGTTGAAGATGAATTATAACTACTTCATATAAAGAGGAGGAGCAATACCACAGCTGGGAAAATATATTCAAATAGAATGTATTCCATCATCTCCACCCTTCCCTTTCTTCACTACATCACAGCTCCTAGTCAAAAACTTCAAAATTGATGATACCCACTTCACCGTGTGTGTGCATGTGAATGTGCATGTGAATGTGTATATGTCTGCATCTATGTGTGCATGCTATTCAATGCATGTTCATCTTAAACCCCAATACTAAGAAACTATGATCTTTCATAAAATCAAATGGTTCTGACACCCTGGAATTTACCAAACATTTCTGTACCTCAAGACCTCATTTAATAATCTAATTTAGGACTTAAGTCTAAAAGGTCTTTAACACATATTGCCTCTCATTTTAAAATATTTAATTGATTTTAATGTTTTCAAAATTTAACAACTACATAGCATATTTAATATGATGGTGGATAGGTCATCTTAAAACAATGAATTAGGAAAAAAAAGTCTATTTTTCCCTTTTTTTAAAAAAATGCCACAAAATTTAAAAAATAAGAAAAACAAATCAAATAAAATATACTGCTTGCATATTATACCAATGCCCAAACTGTGGTCACAAAAATTACTTATCCAGTCTAAACAGGAATGAATCATTTACATGAGTGAAATAAAATAATGCCAATTGGGATAACATAAATATAAAGAATATACTGTATCAGAGGTTAATAAAAATACTGCATTACTATTGAAAACAAAAACCATTTGATTTCTTCTTAAGAACTACTTGGTAGTTTGGAAATAATCTGAAATCTTAGATTTCTTGGATAAAACCTGTTTATTTATTCAGTATTTCAGTATTTTAGCAATAAATAACAGTTATTTTTTCTATTATGCAGACAAGAAATATATTCAGATAATTTCAAAAAAGAAAACATTCAAAGAAACTAACACAGAAAATCTTTCAGTGTCTATTAATTTTATTATATCCACTATACATTTCATATAATTTTATTCTCATTTCCAAATAGTGTGTCAGTATATTCTTTCTCAACTAATGATTCAAGGGAATGGTAAGTAGAAAAATCCATAAAATGAAATAGCTAAGAGAAAATTGTGTGGGTGCACATGTTTATGCACAAAAGCACAGTCTAAACATAAATTTTATGATCACTGTGGGAAAAAGTAATACAATAAGAACAAAATAAACCTAAGGAAATGAGACCACTTAAAGTAATAAAAGGAGATTTCTCCTCCCCAAACAAAACACAAGAAGTTAGCTAGTAAGTCAATAACTACTTACCAGGCAAACGCCAAATAAAAACAACAACAACAACAACACTATGCTAACAAGACATTTGAAACTATCTTTGAATATCTCTAAGGGAATTCTAAAAGTGGAAATGAAAGTATTTTTTAAGATAACAAAATTTCAAATATCAACATAACACAATCATCTTATAGATACATAACTATTTAGCATACCATGTAGCCCTCTATCACCATCTATTGGCAAATTTCATGAAGGAAAGAACAAGTGTTCTTTTAATAATCTGTAACTAAACTGTAATAGGCTTAGCTCTTCCTGCAGTCTTCCTTCAGTTAACTTCAGTGCTAATGTACACACACACACACACACACACACACACACACACACCCCAAAAAAGGTCCTGGCACTTCCTAGAAAAAATGTAAGATGAAAACTCGAAAAGTATAATTAAAATCTATGATAAGTTACCTTACAGATGTAAAAAGAACAAAAACTAAAACAACTATAGCTACAACGCATGACTTTCATGCATAACTGCTACATATATTGATTGCTCTTTCCTAATTAATACACAGAAAAATTAAAAATAAAATATAATTTATCTATGGATTAAAAGTATGTAAAATTATTATCAGAGATGAAAAGATCAAACAGAAGATTATCAGTGTTGGTGGGAATACAAACTGGTCCAAACCCTATGGAAAACCATGTGGAGGTTTCCCAAAATATTAAAAAGAGATCTGCCACATGATCCAGCAATTCCATTCCTTGGCATATATACAAAGAATGCAAAAATACTATTTTGAAGGGATACATACAATCCTATGTTCACCGCAGCACTATTTACAATACCCAAGTTATGGAAACAACCTAAGTACCCAAAGACGGATGAGTAGATTAAAAAGAGGTAGTACATATACAAGAATGAATTAAGAAGGAAAAAAAAGAAACTCTTGACATTTGTAACAAAATGGCTAGAACTTAATGCTAAGTGATCATACTAGTATGAAAGACAAACATTGGATAATTTCTCTCATATGTGGACTATATAGAAACAAAACAGAGGAACTAACAATACTAAAACTAAACTCAAAAAATGCCTAGAACAAATATTGATGAAATTCATATGGAGCCACAAAAAAACCTCGAATAGCCAAAGCTCTCCTGACCCAAACAAAGGAGAATGGAGGTATCACATTCCCAGACTTCAAACTATACTACAAAGCCAAAACAATTAAAATAGTGTGGTACTGGAACCAAAACAGACACATAGACCAATAAAATCAAATAGAAAGCCCCACATATATGGACAACTAATCTTTGACAAAGGAGCAAAGAATTTGCAATTGACCAAGGACAGTTTGTTCAATAAATGGTGCTGGGAAAACTGGACCACCATTAACAAAAGAATGAAAGTAGACCACCACTTCATACCATACACAAAAATCAACCCAAAGTGGATAAAAAATCTGGACATAAGATCTAAAACCACAAAATATATAGAATATAGCTAAAACACTGTAAGACATGCATCTCAGTAACATCTTTAAAGACTCAACTCCTCAAAGCAAAGAAAGTGAAAGAAAAGATAAACAGCTGGGATTACATTAAACTAAAAAGCTTCTGCACACCAAAAGAGACATTAACCAAAACAAAGAGACACCCTACTGAGAAAATATTTGCCCTCCATACAACTGATAAGGGGCTGATCACAGAGATATACAAAGAACTCAAATGACTCAACAAAAACAAAGTAAACAATTCAGTCAAAAAATGGGCAGAAGAACTTAAAAGACATCTCTCCAAAGAGGAAATGCAAATGGCCAACAGGCATATGAAAAAATGTTCAACATCCCTCATAATCAGGGAAATGCAAATCAAAACCTCAATAGAGATATCACCTTACACCAGTAAGAATGGCACCTCTTAAAAAAAACCTAGCAACAACAAATGTTGGCCAGGATGTGATAAAAGAACTCTTCTACACTGCTGGTGGAACTGCATACTGGTCCAACCACTATGGAAAGCTGTGTGGACACAGGACCCAGCCATTCCACTACTAGGGATATACCCAAAGGACACAAAAACACTAATTCAAAAG